TTACCAGCCTGGAACATATCCCTATCCCTATGCTGGGCACCTCCTCGTCACGATGCCAATCTTAGGGGTTCCCTTCTTTTTGGGGGGCGAATCCCTAAGATAGTCATCGCCTTTTGGCGTGTCAATCTTAGGGATAGGGATACGTTCGAGGCTGGTAACACCAGCATTGGGTCGGGCAGGTGCCCCGACAGGCGGCGGTGGACAAGCCTCCCTGTAAGAAACCTCCCTTGAGTGAAAACGGCCTGGGACCCAAACCGACGGACCTGGACCCGCAAAAGTGACGGCCGCGACGCCCTCTCGCGAACCGAAAACGGCCAATTCCGTAATCGACGTGTCAGGGTATGAGGTCTATCAACCTCCGATACAGGCGGATTTTTCGAAGGCGCAGAAACCACCCCCATAATGACCACCCCGACACGCGAAGCCGTTTACTAGACGCCCCCCAAGAGGAAACGAACACGGCAGGGCTGTGTAGTCAACGCCTGCAGGGCCGTTCAGCAAACGCCGATTGACCAGTCCGGGTGGTTTTTCATCCCTTGCATTTCTGGAGGAAGAATCCTGCATACCCAAAAAATATTCAGAGAGATGTTCAAACATAGTCAAAGCATTGTCCCCAGGCAACGTTCTTGTTACTGGGTTTGGAGATTCCTCCTGTAGGAAGGACGCGCCCGACTTGACACTAGCAACTCGGGCGGGTGGCAATGAAAGGCGACCCAATAGGGGCCCCTCTGGGAGCCAGCTGGGGCCCAAAAGGGGCCCCAAGCGGCTCCTTTGGGGCCTTTCTCTTCACCCCCCGTGTGGGTCACCCACATTGCCACCCGCACAAGAAACCTCAGTGGGTTGGCCCTCGGGGTCCAAGCTATGAGGCAATCGGCTTCAGTTCCTCTGGGCCCAGCTGGCGGGGGCTTCCACGAGCATGTCTGTCTGTCTGGTTGTCTGTCGACCTCCCCCTCTTTCTTCATCTCGTACTGCCTACATACATCCCCAGGCTGCCCGCTTCGATACCCGCGTTCTCTAACGCGGTATTCTCGGCCTCAAATTCGGACTGGCACCCTGTTAGAAGCATGCCGACGTCTGCCATCTTCTGTGCTTGTCCCCATCTGAACAAATTCTGGAACCGAGCCGTGCTTGCTGTTCCTTCGACTCCTTGCACGGACCCGCCGTCCGCGCACAACTGCCAGCTTGTGCGATTCCCCCCTCCATGTCCTCCTCCCCTCTCTCCTCTCAACGCCACCCCGCGCTCCTCCTCCTTCTCCCCCTCTTCCTCCTCCTCCTCCTCCTCCTCCTCCGCCTCCTCCTCCTCCTCCTCCTCCCCCTCCTCCTCCTTCTGTCCCTCGTCCTCCGCCTCCCTCCGTCTTGCCTCCCGACGGGCTCCCTCCTCCGCACCTCGCCGCCCGGGCGGCCCGCCGTGGCGCCACGGCGAGCGCCGCCTGCCTTTGGTGGGGCCCCGCCGCTCCTCGCCCGCACGCGCACGGCCGGGCGAGCCGTGCCAACCGCGGGGCTGCAGTCAGGTCGGGCGCGTCCCTCGGGTCGGGCGAAAGGGGGGGATAGCAAAGGGGGGGTTTGAGAATCAGCTCACGTAGCTGATTTTCCCGGCGCCTCCCGGCGCCGGAGGCGGCTATGTATCGAGGAATGGGCCTCGCGGCGGGGCCGAAACCAGCTGCATGCAGCAGATTTCGTAACCCCCCCTTCCCAATCCCCCCCTTTCGCCCGACCCGACAACCGCAGGGCTGCGGTCAGGTCGGGCGCGTCCCCCGGCAGGCGGACTTTGCCGAAACATTCAACTGTTTCATGGTTCGGCATTGTTGTGGCTATGTACAATGATTAAACATAGCCACAACCATGCCTAAGCATGGTCAAAGATTCTAGCACAAGCGTCCCCAGACACTTGTTTCTGCTGTTTGGGAAGATTCCTCCTGTCGGGGATGGACAGACCTCCCTTTAGCAATCCGTCGTTTAGTGAAAACGACCTCGGGCCCAAACCTGGCGGGCTCAAGCCTGGAAAATAACGGCCGCGGCACCCTCTCGAGAACCGAAAACGGACAATTCTCTAATCGACGTGTCAGGGTAGGAGGTCTGTCCACCCCCGAAACATAGCCACAACCATGCCCAAGCATGGTCAAAGATTCTAGGACAAGCGGCCCTAGGCATCTTTTCGGCCGTTCGGGAAGATTCCTCCTGTAGAGGGGCACGCCCGACTTAAGAAGGCTACAGGCATCATGCCAGCGACGGGGCGCGACGCGTGGAGAGAGGACGGCGGCAGCAGCAGGGCGGCGAAGGCGGGGAGGGGGACCACCAGCGAGGACAACACGACAACGACGACGACGACGACGACGCTGCGGACAAGATCCATGTCCATATCCAGTGCCTCTTGGACTTTTTTGGAAGCGGCGCCAGAAGGCCGAGGCGAGCTGGATGTGGATAGAAATCGAGCCCCCAGGGGGCAAATCTATCCAGATCCAGTGCGCCTGGGGTTTCTTGGGAAGGGAGCCCGAAACTCCATACTGCAGTGGGTATAGACAGAAGTTTTGCCCGCAGACGCCGGCTGAAGACAGGGACAGAGCGGCCAGCGAGCGGCGATGCGGAAGGACATGGACGTAATCGGGCCGTGTGGGGGGGGGGGAATGTATCCAGGTCCACCGCCGGCCAAGGCCCCGCTCCAGGCTGGCTGGGCTCGGGGGGGGCGGGCGGGCGGGCCAGCTGAGAAGATAGGGGGGACGCGTTGGAGCGGGCGGAAGAGAAAGGGGCCCGGCAGGGACACACGAATAAACACACACAAATCCCTGGATTCCCATCGTTTCCCAGAAACCGATCTTCCATCGTGTCCGTGTGTTTCTTCCCCTCCGGAGAATGAGGAGGGCCTCAGGAGGAGGAAGAATAGACAAGCGCGTTCGACTACTCGCCAAGTTACTACTCGCAAATGGCCTGGATCCGCCGCGGGGGAGCTACGAGATATTACATCGAAGCAATCACATGTCTTATGCTTCAGACGTTTGCGAGCAGGCACCTGGCGAGTTGTGTAACGCGCTCGGTGAAGGAACCCAAGAAGAGCAGGAGGAGGATGACCTCTGACCGTGTGCAACGCTGCGCTGCCACCGCGGAGCACGCGGCGGAAGCCGCGCGCAGGCCCGCACCGGGGTGCCCGCAGACCGCCCGTGCCGCACGTCCCGCGCCCGCCGCCGGGCAGCCGGCTGGTCATGGGCCGGCTGGACCGCGGCGCCTCGCGCCGGCAGGGGTGAACAGCGGATGCGCGAGCGTTCTTTTATTCGGCGTCTCGACATTTTGGCGGAAGGGGGAGGGGGAGGGGGGGGTCTGGCTCCAGACCTCTGCTGAGTGCGACGGTTTGCAAGAGTGCTGCCTCTGGGGGAGACTCCACACCCGCTCAAAACAAGCGCCCCAAACAGCCAAAATGTACTCCGGGCGGGGGTAGGGGGGCGGTGCGAGGGCCCGCGCCGATCGGCAAAACAATTAATAAAAACACGATCGCCATGCGACGCGAGGAGATTGTTCTGTTGCCCCCGAGCGGTGCTTGCAATTCGGGGATCTTGCGTGTCTCACCAAGGGCTTCGGCGGGCCCGGCGAACGATCTCGCGCGCCCATGACAACCCCTGAATATCCTCGCGCGCTGGGCGTGGCTCCAATGAGGCTTCACCACGCTGCCGCCCGTGACCGCTTCGTGACCGCCTCTCGGTTGCACCACGTCTGCACCACATAGCTTCAACCACAGAGCTTGAACCACACAGGATGAACACCAAAATGCAGTTACCCACAGTGGGGGTCCACGGTGGCTAACCTGTTATTTCCAACAGCGGTCGTTTTCTGGGGAGGGGGGGGGGCGGCGGGTGACGCTAACGTTTGGGCAGGGTTGGGAACGTCGGGGCGGGGGCGACATGCGATCGCCAGAACATGCGCGCGAGCATCAGCATGCGAGGATGGGGTCATCACCCCCCCCACGCGTACGATCGCTACCGGCCCCCAGGTGAGGCGGAGGAGGCCAGTAACGACCTCACGGGCCAGAAACAAAAAACAAAAACAATACTGAGGAAACCCTGGGCTGAGAATACCAATCGTGTTTTTTGTTTGGGGGGAAATCCTGCCAAGCGCGCGCGGGTCAGTCGAACGGCCCAAGGCCGCTGAGCGGCGACCTAAAAGCCGGCAAGAGACGAGAACAAAAAGAGGCAGGGCGGTCGCGAAAAGGAGGGCCCAACGGGGAGCCCAACTCCGACCGTGAAGGCCTTCGTCAGGAAATGCAAGATTGCATCATACGCGGTCGCATATAGGCTCGCACGTCGAGCTTCCGGATGCGCGACGCCAACAGTGTCTGCGCGCCCTCGCGCTGTCACCCATGGGGAAGGCGACGCGAAGAGCGCGGTCACCTTCGCGTGCCCGCGGGAACTCTGGGACGTGCGCTGGTCGTCCTGCGCGCAGCGAAATCGCAGCCATGTCCAATGGAGTTCGGCAACAGTCGGCCAGAGGCGGCCGATGGGACCACCTCCGTCCTGGCTTCGAGATTGTTCATTATCCTCTGGCGCGTAGCGGCCGACACCCAGGCGCAACCCCCCCCGCTGGGTAACAGTAGCGATCGCACGCAAGAGGGAGGGGCTGGACCCCCCCACACATGCTGGTGTTCGCGCGCAAGCTATGGCGATCGCAACGCACCCCCGGCACCCAAACGCCCCAGAATAAAACAGATCCTAGCGGAAAACCGGGACACTTGCTGTTGTGAGCACCGTGTTGTTGCGCCGCTTTGGGTGGAACTCCCTACGGGGCCTCGAACAGTTTGAGGGGTGCGCCAACAAGGGCTGAACCGCCACGCACACTCCGCCACTGGGGCCTTCGGCGGAGCTCCCTATCAGGCCACGAACCGTGCGAGGGGTACGCCAAAACTGGGCGGCGCCGCCGTATGAACTCTCCCATTGTGGCCTTTCTGTGGAGCTCCCTGCGGGACCGCGAGCCGTGTGAAGGGTGCGCCAAACTGGGGCGGCGCTGCCGCTGGGGCCTTCGGTGGTATGAAGCCACGAAGCGTGTGAGGGGTGCGCACAAATTGGGCGGCGCCGCCATGTGGACCCTGCCACTGGAGCGGGGCCACGAGCCGTCTGAGGAGTGCGCCAAATGGGGCAGCGCCGTCATGTGGACCCTGCCGCTGGGGCCTTTGGTGGAGCTCCCAAAGAGGCCACGAACCGTGCAAAGGGTGCGTCAAAATGGGGCGGCGCCGCCATGTCGACTCTGCTACTAAAGCATCCCTACGGGGCCACTGACCGCGTGAGGGGTGCGGGGCGGCGCCGCCACGTTGACCCTGCCACTGGGGCCTTGCTTTGTTCACCTGATGCGCGGGGCTCGCTGCGAGCACCGACCGTCCGAGCGCCGGGCATGCGCCGTCACCTTGGGCAACTGCGCGAGGCACACGCGTGGCCGTGCCGCCGCCGAGCGGGGGCCGGCAATCGAAGCCGCTGCCTGCACCCCGCCGCTACGCAGAGACCGAGGCTCACACCTGCTCGGCATGCCGACTGAGGTCTGCGCTGTCACCTGGGGCACCCACGCGGGGCACCCACCAGGCCGCACCGCCCTCAAATGAAGGCAGGCCGCCGAAGCCACTCCCACATGAGCCACTGGCGGGGCGCCAATTGACGGACTGCAGCATACGCCGCAGCTCGTCGCTGGCCTTGGGCTGGTAATCGACCGCCCACCGCAAGACGCCGCCCGCCACAGCGAACACGCCCTGCTAGTCGGCCGCGCCGTCAGACCCAGGCTCTCCAGAGGCCGCCACCGCCGCGGCCGACGCCGCAGCGTGCGCCGCAGGCGAGCCGGAGCCCGCGCCCGCAGCCCCCGCCGCCGCCGCAGCCTGCAGGGCCACCAGGGGCCGCCGCGGCCTCCACGACCCGCGCCTCCGAGGCGTCGGCAGCGTCCGTCCAGCGGCCCACCAGCGGCGCTGGGCCGAACTGCGCCAGCTCGAGGCCCCGAGCGCCGACGACGCCGCCGCGGGCCAGACCGCCGCCGGCTGCCACCCCGCCGCCCGCGCCGCCAGGAACGGCACCAGCCGCCCCCCGGAGGCGCGACGACGAGGGCGTCGGCGAACCAGTCGCCCACCAACTCGTCGTCGCTGTCGCTGTCGCCGAGGGCGGGGCCCGCCGCGCCGCCGGCCTCCCCTCCAGGCGCCACGGCAGCCGCAGCCACCTCCTGCGCCCTCCAAGGAGCCCCAGCGCCACCGCCAGCAGGACCTCCGCCATCACGCTCCACGCTCCTGCGCGCCGAGCCGCCAGGGCACTCGCGGCGTCGGCGGCGCCGCAACGCGCTTCGCCCCCGCCGCCGCACCGACCTTGGGCCCGCCGTTGCCGTCGTCCGCCACCGAGCCGCCAGCATTGAGTCGGGCCTGTCCCCCTACAGGGGGATTTTCAACGTTTTTTCTTGATTGTTTTCTTAGCATGTTTTTTTTTACTTGTATTTTGATTATTATTATTATTATTATTAATAAAATGATTATTATTAGTAGTAATATTACTACTACTATTAATAGTATTAGTATTATTCTCATCATCATCACCATTATTAGTAGTATTATTAACATTATTCCTATTATTATTAGTCGTATTATTATTAATAATACTATTATTAAGATTATTATTAGTATTACTATTATTATTGTTATTACTATTAGTAAAATTATTATTGTAATTATTATATCTATATATCAACCTAAAATAATGAAAAATGATCCAAAAATGGTCTGGGGACTAGTTTTGGTGCATTTGTTTGGCATGTGGGGGCATGTTTGGGGTGTTTTGCTTTTCATCGAACATCCCCCTGTAGAGGGACAGGCCCGACCTAACGCCAGCACCAGCAGCGCCACCGCGCGCGGGCCAACGAGCGCGCGACAGCGGCTACTGACGCGGCCCCGTGCCGCCCCCTCGCGGCGGCGCCCAATTGGTGCGCCGCGGCGCTCCTGCGAGCTGCGGTCCGCGGGCCGCCACCTCCACGAGAAGGGCGGCGCCCGCTGCGTAAGTGGCCCCTCTATAATTAAGTCGGGCCTGTCCCCCTACAGGGAGACTCTCGACGAAAAATAAAAAGTACCCCAAAAATAATCATAAAGTAATGCAAAAAATAGTCGGGGTACTATTTCGTTAGTTTTTTTTTTTTGTTGGGGGTATTTTTGGGGCCCCGCCATCCTGGCCCCGGCACCCGGAGGAGCCACACCGGCGACGGCGGCGGCCCTGCGATCGCTTGAGCCAACATGCTGCCCCTTGAGCCAAAACCACCGGGGCCTTTGGTGAAACTCCCTGTGGGGCCACGAACCGTGCGGAGGGGTACGCCAAAGTGAGGCGGCACCGCCATGTGGACCCTGCCACCAGGGCCTTCGGCTGATTTCCCGATGGGGCCACGAGCCGTGTGAGAGGTGCGCCAGAATGGAGCGGCGCCGCCATGTGGACCCTGCCACCAGGGCCTTCGGTGGAGCTCCCTACGAGGCCACGAAGCCGTCTGAGAAGTGCGCCAAAATGGGACGCGCCGTCATGTGGACCCTGACAGTGGAGCCTTCGGTTGAGCCCCCTATGGGGCCACGAACTGTGTGAGGGGTTCGCCAGAATGGGGCGGCGCCGCCATGTGGACCCTGCCGCTGGGGCCTTTGGTGGAGCACCCTACGGGGCCACGAAGTGTTGCGCTGGGTTTGCCGGCACAGAGACAGGGATGGGACGAGGGAGGAGGGGCTGGGGGTAGAGGGAGAAGAAATAATAACGCGGGACGCTGTCTCTTCAAAACGAGGACCAACACCACGATAATTGGGAATATAACACATCTTTTCGGACGGCATGGTACAGACGTTTGGCCATGTCCCCTGACCGCCCAAGTTCTCGGCGAACCTGACGGCGGACGGCGAGAAGACTCTCGCGCTGCGTGACGGCCCGGACGCAACACGTGAGTAGACTCACAGTTCACGCGGGAGGGGCTCATGCGCAAGCACGGGGGTTGAAGAGGATGCGGAAGTGCTACCAATGTCCAAGGCCCCTGATTACACGTCGGTCGGAAGAAGTAGGTAAAAACATGAAGTAGGAAGGCGGATAAAGTGGATTGGGTCCAGGCCCTCCCAGAGAATAACAAAACACAGCAACAGCAAGCCGATTCTTGAAGTAGGAAGGCGCTTGAAGTAGATTGGGATGTGGGAATCTAGAAATACCTACTTTCAACGACCAGCGTGTAGGGATGCGTGACAGTCCATTGAATCTCTGAGTGTCGGAGCGACCCGACTCAATGGAGCTCAGGATGACATGGGCTCCGCTCGCAAGCCCCCGCGAAGACCAAACATCAACTTTGGGCCGCCCGGTGCGAGCTGCTACCTGGAAGTGAACACAGAGGCTGAGATACCCATCGGTCGGAAGAAGTAGGTAGAAACATGAAGTAGGAAGGCGTTGGAAATAGATTGGGTTTCCGCACGCCTCCTGAAGAGGAGGGAAGAGGGAAAACCACTCGACTCTTGAAGTAGGAAGGCGCTGAAAGTAGATTGGAATATGGGAATCCAAAAATACCTACTTTCAACGACCGATGGGTACTGATGCCATGTTCAATGTCATCGCCTGCCTGTTCCTCCACCTACCGACCTCGCCTCTGAGGACGAGTACAGGTGTCCAGAGTGGGGTCAGGAGAAAGAGAAAGAGAGAGAGAGAGGGATAGAGGGAGAGAGCAGCAAGTAGGGAGTCAAGCTGGACTGGAAATCCAGTCCTCAAAGGGCCCTGCCCCTTCTCACCCTCCCTCGGATGACATAACAGTCGATGGTGGCGCAACTTTGCACAGGGACGGGCGCGCGTTCCCCCTCGCGGACGGAAGGCACTCAAACGCGGCCTCGCCGCCGCCAACTTGGCGAGCGGGAGCAACACACGAGCCGCGCAGGGGCGCGAGCAAAACCTTCCAGAAACGGCGTGCGCGTCGCTGCGGCGGGGGCTCCACTTAGGCTCTCTCTCGCACGGACGAGCCTCCCACTCGCCCTCGCTCGGACGTCCCTTCCCTGTGTCTTGTAGGTTTCGTGCGTGGTTGTTCCGCCAAATGATTGAAGGATTGCAAAACAAAAACCGAAGGATTGCAAAAAAACGAAGGATTGCAAAAAAACAAAGGATGCTCCTCAACGGCCCTCGCCGAAGGAAAGATGCACGCGCCCGAGCGATGCCGAGGCCCGCGAGCGCTGCCGAGGCGAGGCGTGGGCCGCGACGGAGCGGCACTGCCGCTCTCGCGCGGCACCGGCGCGGCACTTCCGCGGGATCGGCCTCTCGCACGCGCGTTGGGGCGGCCACGCGGCCCTCGCCGCTTCCCCGGGACCCGGCGACCGAACACTACTCGACGACAGAAAAAAAACAGACGTGAATGTCATGCCTGCGCACGTCCCGCTATGCGTGTGCGACCGTGAGGGTCTGGGTGTGAGAGTGAGTCCGAACACACGGCGAGTCTGGCGACAACGGCGACTACGAGGAGGGACGGCGACGGCGACAGCTCACAGACAGACAGGCGGTGAGCAACCCCCTCCTAGGCCTCAAGGTGGCTCCAAGAAGACCCAGGAGAGCCCCTAGAGGAGCCCAAGAGGGCCCCAAGACGGCCCAAAGAGCACCCAAGAGCACCCCAAGAGCGCTCCAAGAGGGTCCAAAAGGCGATGTTAGGAGCTGCAGAGTGGGAGTGGCAAATCAAGAACCACTTCCACTCTCCTTCCCGCTCGTCGTGTGTCCTCCCTTCGCTTCCTCCCTCATTCGTTCTCTCGCTTCCTGCGCCCTCTCCGTACTCCCTCATCCGTCCTGGCGGCCGTCCTTTTTTTTTTCCACCCGCCGAGCCTTACGACGGATTTCGTGTTTTTGTTTGAGGGCGACGGGGGAACGAGGGAGAGGAGGAGGAAGACGAGGCCGAGGAGGAAGACTTGGCCGAGGAGGCCGAGAAGGAGGAGGACGAGGCCGAGGTCGTGGCGTCCTGGCGTCCGTCCTCCTCCTCCTCCTCATCGTTCATCTTCCTCCTCCTCCTCCTCCTCCTCCTCCTCTTCCTCCTTCTCCCTCCTCCTCCTCCTCCTCCTCCTCCTCCTCCTCCTCCTCCTCCTCCTTCCCCCCACCACGGAAGTGAACCTTTGGGGCTCCGCGTGGGCAGGAGCCGAGGGTGCAAAAACCCCGAGCGCCTCGCTCGAGGCAGCCCAGCAAAGTGTTGCCGCCCGGGGTGCGGAAGCCACCGCCTCGCTCGAGGCAGCCCCACAAGCGGTGCTGAAAGGACTGGCGTCCAAGCCGCCGACGAGGCAAATCGGGGCACGGACGGGAAAATCCCATATATATATATATATATATACATATATATATATATATACACCCCTGCGTCCTTGCCATCGTCTCGCCCGAGACACCCTTACAATCTGATGGGCCTGGTTTCCACCATCACCACCATGAGCTGGAGGGGGAAGGAGGAGGACGAGGAGGACGACGGAGAGCAGGAGGAGGAGGAGGAGGAGGAGGAAGACCCCTCCCCCTCGCACGTATGGAGGTGGCGGTGGTGGAAACAGGCCCATCCTAATCTGCGATGCCAGTGGACGCGAGTGGTCCGACTGTGGGCGCATCTGCGTGTGAGCTGGCCTGGGACTCGCTCAGGCTAAGATATGCTCACAATCAGACTCATGGACAGTCAGACACAGATTCAGACCCACTCGCACCCAGTCGCACTGATAATCTGACCCGCTCGCACTCAGACCGTGTTCCAGACACGCACGTCTTCAGACAAGTCATATTCGGATTTATACACACATCACTGTTACATGCGTAGCCCCATGGTCATCGCTGTGTAGCGGGCGTCGTATTCAAGCACCCGAAGAAGACTCCCAAGGGATTGATACATTGTTCGTTCGCGACCATATGGTGGGCACGTCCAGGGTGGTTAAATCATTTGGTTGATCTCGGGTTCATCTTTCCTATAGAGCCTTTCTCACCGCGATGTAGCAGGCACGGCAGTTGAACACCCGTCCTTGCTCAGATTGCGTGGATGACTCAGGATGGTTGCTTGTTTGGTTGATTCGCATTTATTTTTAGAGCTCCATGCCCATCCCAGTGTAGCAGACGTGGCAGTTGAGCACCCCAACGAGGAGCAGCCAAGGGTAAAATCATTTGCCCGTCCGCGCCCAGATCGTAGGGATTTCTTAAGTGGTTTGCCTGTCAGGTTGATGGGATGTCTCTTTCTTTTCAGAGCCCCATGCTCATCGAGATGTATCAAGCACGGCATTTGAGCACCCCGAGGTGGAGCCGCCAGGGGTGGGGGCATGCATCCGTCCCCGCCTGGTGCGGTGCCTGATGGGATTCGCCTGGCCTGGGCCAGGTTGTGGGGATGCCTGGTGCGGCTTTCCTGTTTGTCTGATTGGATTGTGGTGTGCTCAAAACGTCGGCGTCACCCAAACATGCTTTTCTACATGTGCGTCGCCCCCCCAGGGGCGACGCGCGCACCGAGACATCTTATAGTACATGCGTCGTGGCGGGCTCTTTCTGGCCACACCGCTTGGGAAACGACTTCTTACAAGATGGGTCTACTATGTATATGTTCGGGTCGGACGCGCGCCTCCAATCGGGAGCGGCCAAGAGGGGGGTGTCCAAGAGGGGGGGGTGCAAATCATGACCGGCGGCATGTGCGCGGCCCAGCGGGGGGGCCAGGGACGCAATGAAACAAGAAGAGGCGCCACGAAATCTGGGGAGATATCATGGCCCCCGCCATGAAATCCCCCCCCCCCCTAGTCATCACCCCCCTCTTTTCCGCCCCCGATATAGTATCAGTATCAGTCTGTCCCTGGTGCGCTCCAGACAGGCTGCGGGGATGCCTCGAGGAGCCGCCGGGGAGGGGACGGGGGCCCTCGCCCGTGCGGCATGCGGCCGGATCGTGGGGGGTGCCTCACGTGGTGTGTGCCTGTTTCTTTCCCTGGGCTTCTGGACAGTGCCGCCCCCTCCCCCTCCTCCTCCTCCTCCTCCTCCTCATCCTCCTCCCCCTCCCCCTCCTCCTCCTCCTCCTCCTCCTCCTCCTCCTCCTCCTCCACTTCCTCCTCCTCCTTCTCCTCATCCTCGGCAGCGAGAGATACGGGAGCAGAGAGAGGGAGAGAGAAGGACGGAGAGAACGATACAGAGAGAGAGGGATACAGAGAGAGAGAGAGGGATGGAGAGAGAGAGAGGGATACAGAGAGAGAGAGAGGGATACAGAGAGAGAGAGAGGGATGGAGAGAGAGAGAGAGAGAGGATGGAGAGGATGGATGGAGAGTGGGAGAAAGATACGGCGAGAGGATGGAGAGAGAAGGATGGAGAGAAAGATACAGAGAGAGAGGGAGGGAGGCAGCGAGAGAGAGTAAGTGGAAGCGTCCCGCCGTGCCGCTGGACAAGGAGTGGGCGTGCCCTCAGGCCCTTTGCCCAGTCCCCCTCTGGGCCCCAGCCCTCGATCCTCAGAAGCCCGTTACAGGGCCATTGTCAAAGCCTTTTGGACCACGAGACCGAACTTGTGGGCTTAGCTTTGCTATCTGTTGTTGATTGGCTCTTTATCGTTCGTACATCTTGAGCCTGATCGAAGTTTCATATTGCACAAGCGTACTTTGTCCGTAGAACTGCTGTTCATGTATGCACTAAACTCTTTAAATTAATAATAATAATAAGAATAAGAATAATAATAATAATAGTAATACTAATAATAATAGTAATAATAATAACAATAATACTAATAATAGTAGTAATAATAGTAATAACACTAATAATAAGAATAATACTAATAAAAAATTATAATAATAATATAGATAACAATAATAATAATAATAATAATAGTAATAGTACTGATAATACTAATACTAAGAATTATGATAATGATAATAATACTAATAGTCATAATAACCATAATAACAACAATACTACAAATAATACATGCTAATAATAAGAATAGTACCTGATAAAAATAAGAAGAATAATAATATTAATAATACAATACGAACACTAATAAGAAGAAGAAGAAGAAGAAGAGAAACGGATCCCGAAATTGTGTGTGGGGCTGCCCACGTGCCCCTCGGGCCCCGTCGCGGCTTCCCGCAGACACCCGTCGGGCCCCAGGACGAGCCACGAGGGCCCCAGGAGGCCCCCGCAGGCGGTCTGAGGAGGGCCCCCGGGATCGCCGAGCGATCGCTCCAGGGCGCCCAAAAAAGGGCCCCTCGGACGGCCCAGGAGGCCTCCAAGACGCCCCAAGAGGCCTCCCAAGAAGCCTCGCGAGAAGCCAAACTCATTGAGCTGCCATATGTTTCTGAATATGGTTGGCGTCCTCCGTCCCGACGGTCCCAGACGGCCCGAGAGGCCCCAGAGATCGCCCACAGTCTGCCCAGGAGGCCTCCAGGAGGGCTCCAACACGCCCAAGAGGGCCCCAAGACAGCCCAAGAGGCGCCCAAACCGGCCCAAGAGGCTCGAAAGACGGCTCCAAGAGAGGCCCAGATGGGGGACCCGAACGGACATTTCGAGCCCTCGGTCCAGAGGGGGCCCCTAGGAGTCCCCACGAGGTCCCCAAGAGGCCCCGAGAGGCCCCAAGAAGCCCCCAAGAGGCCCCGAGAGGCCCCCAAGAAGCCCCCCAGGAGGCTCCCGAGAGGCCCTGAGACTGCCCCCAGGAGTCCCACGAACGTTCCCCGAAGCGACCCCAGGAAGCCTCCCTGCAAACCCTGACCCCATAATCAAACCACGGTTGCGGAGGGTCCGAAGGCTCTTCGACGCCGGACGCGGGGACCCCATACAGTCGGGGCGTTGACCTAAGGAACCCTAAAGAAGGAACGAGGCCCTTTTTTTCAGAAAGTTAAACTTCGATTCCCCATCGAAAACCTAAGGACAACCTAAGGCAAGCTGCGGAACAATTGGGGAACACGGAGCCCCTCCCCAACGGAGAGGGTTCCTAGTTTAGCGCCCCGACTGTATGTGCATCTGTCTCCGGCACTCACGTCTGTGAGTGTCTAAGCCAGAGGGTCTGCGCCAGTGGCGACGGAGCGCCCCCTGGCGACTGCACCCTGGAGCGCCCGAATGGCATGCCTGCGACGGCGGAGTGGCCTTGGGACGTACAGTCGGGGCGTTGACCTAAGGAACCCTAAATAAGGAACGATGCCCCGTTTCTCCACACATTGAACTTCGATTTCCCATGGAAAACCTAAGAAAAACCTAAGGCAAACTGCGAAACAACTAAGGAACACGGAGCCCCTCCCCAACGAGAAGGGTTCCTTCTTCAGGGCCCCGACTGTACGTCCGCATTCCATTCCTCCAGGGGTGCCTGAGCATGGGCGAGACTGCGCGCGCGCAAGTCCAGAAGCCAGCGACCCTCTCTGCAGTGCGGGTGCGGCCGCAGGAGGCCCTCGCAAGAAACCCAGCGCCGAACACCCGCGCGCGAGGTGCAGGGGAAAACCCAGAGCACGGGGAACGCAGCGGCCTCTCCGACGGCCGCGGAAGTCACCGCGCAGCTCGCGGAGCGAAGAACACCAGGATTGACTACCTACCAGACCACCCCAACCCAACCCGAAGACCCGAATTCCGGGTTGGGGGGGGTAAGAGCTCCACATGTGTTTTGTTCGATGTTTCCCGCCCCCCCCCCACTGGAAATCGAGGGTAAATCTGAGCCTTCGGGTTGGGTTGGGGTGGTCTTGGGGTGGTCTGGTGCTGGGTGAAGGATGCCCCGACGAAGAGCATACTCCAGATTTCGTAATAAAAGGGAGGGGGTCTGGACCCTCCAAGACAGGCCATTTCAGACCCCCCCCCCGTGGGAAAACCCTCCAAAACATCGTCCCCAGACCCCCCTCAGGCCCTCCAAGATAGCCTGGAAGAGACCCCCCCCGAAATGAGACCCCCCTCCCTTTTATTATGAAATCTGGAGTGTGGCTTCTGCAGGCGCGCCCCCGCTGTGCCACCAGTTGCTGCCGTGTGTCCGAGGCACGGCACGCGCCTCGGCACCAGGGCACGCCGCCAGGCGCCCGCTCGCAGCACATGCGAGAGGGGAGCACGACGACTGAGCACTGGTGTTGTGGATGCCATGGCAATGGACACTCTAACAATCTCATCCTTGAACTAAAGATGTGTGTTAATGCGTAAAGCATGTTCTGAACATGTGTCAGACATGTTGTCCTTACATGGTTTAACATGTTTGCAACATCCTTTGGTCATCTGGAAATTAGTTGGCAGCATGCTTCCTCTCCGTTCATCGACTTCCATAACACTAGCGTTAGGCCGGGCGTGTCCTCCTACAGGGGCATTTTGGACGAAAAATACTGCTGTAACAAAACCACAACTATTCAACAAATGATCGAAACATCGTCCCCACACTATTGTCTGACTATACTGGGAGGGACGTGCCCGACTTAATACTCGTGAGTCTGACGTGGAGCGGATGGGCCCTGAAAAGAGAAACGCGTTACTAACCAAGCAGGCAGACCGCCTGAAACAGCATCACGTACCGGGTGCGAAAGGGCAACTGTCTCCAGTCCTGGCGGGTCCTTCTTCGGGTGCTGAACTGCCACGCTTGCTACATCGCGATGAGCATGGGGCTCTGAAGAGAAAACATGTCGATCGACCAAACGGGCAAACGGCCTGAGTCATCCCCACAATCGCTGCCAACGAATTGGCTAACAAACGCGCTCATGTGGGAGCTCGAACCGCAGGGTCCACGAGCGCGACGCCAAGGCGAGAACTACAATTCGCCCCTTCGCGCACAATGGGCGGTCCATCCCATTGCAGCCGCGCATTTTGCAACGCTGGTGGCAAAATGTCCACGCTGAGGACGACAAACAGCGACTTCGCATTGCTTCTTGCATGTATGAGGAAACGTTCCAGGTTGGACTGCTATCGTTTTCGTATGTGGCAGAGTGGAAGCACGTAAGAATAAGGAACAGTGATAAGAAGGATAACGATCGAGGTTCGTAATTCGTCTCCTTGTCCTTCCTCCGCTGAAGGTGAAGTTGAGATCCAGCAGCGGTTGACGAGCCCACTGGGCCTCCCTGGGCAGCCCTGCGATGTGCTATTTGCTTTGTACAAATGCGTACTGTCGATGGCCACCTTTGCCGTTGTGATTGCACTGCATGCTAGACTTAGGTCGGGCATGTCCCGTCCTCTGACTATGTGTTGACGATGTTTTGAAGATTCCTCCTGTAGAGGGACAGGCCCGACTTAATGCTGGACCTCATGACATTGATATAACTCGGCACTGGCCTGCGGAAGGAGCGAGCGCCAAAGACCCGGCTCCGTCCCGCACGCGGCAGCGTCCCCGGAAGCCTGGGCGGCTTGATGCCGGTGTCCCTCGTCTTCGGCACGTTGCGCTTGCCGGACTGAGCAGGCGCGGCGGGTGCAAGCGAACGAGGGTGGCAGGAAGCAGGACTGGTGGGGGAAGGGGGCAGCCGAGATTGGGCGTTGCATAATGGGGGGTTCATAACTGGGAGGTCCGCAAAGGCACCGTTTATGATCCCCCCATGTATGACCCCCCCATTAAGCCACGCCGCCACCGAGAAGAAGCTCTGAGAGGGCCGGGTCGTGGGCGGCGGCACGTGCGGGCGAGAGGGGCGCGGAGCAGACACAGGTGCCGGCGCGCGGAGCAGGCAGGGAGGCTCGGGTGCGTCGGGGGAGGTGCTGGCGTGCCGAGCGCAGGAAGCACGGCCGGTCGGGAAGGCGCAGGGCAGGGTGGTGTTAGGTCGGGCCTGTCCCTGTACAGGGGGATTGTGGGCGGAACAAAAAAACTGCAACATACCCCCAAAATTCTCAAACATAGGGAACATCTATGTTCACTATTTCTGAAAGCAAAATGCCCCCACATGCTCAAACATAGGAAGCAGATCTTTGTCAGGATGTTTGAAAAGGGCAAGAAGATGCAAATTCTCAATACCGAAGATGTCTTGAAGTATTTTCGAATCTACCCCCTGCAAGAGGGACAGGCCCAGCTGAAAAGTAGCGGGAGCAGGTGCGCAGGGGTGCGGAGGGGCCTCCTCCTCCTCCTCCCCCTCCTCCTCCTCCTCCTCTTCCTCCTCCTCCTCCTCCTCCTCCTCCTCCTCATCCTCCTCACCCTCCACCTACTTCCTCCCCCCTCCATCCGTCGCGAAACCCTCATCTCAAGGCCTGCGGGGGCGGACGGTGTTAACAAAAGAAGCGGGAGGGCCGTGTTGGAATCGTGATGGCTTGCACTGCTGCGGTCAGTACAAGGTCTCCCAAGGTGCGTGCCTAAGGCGCCGTTAGCCCCCCCCCTTCTGCCGATACCAGCCGCTGAGTGCCATCATTGAGCCGCACACTCCCCGCCCCCGTCACCAAGGACTGCAAAATCACCAACCCACCCAGCCAGTGGCAGCTCTCCTGATGGCTGCATGGACGTCGACGACGGAGCATTTGATGGCAACGTCAGGTCATACCGCATCGATCGCTTCGATGCCTATACCATGACCATGGGTAATGACGCCGCCTCCGACCCCCTACTTGGCATCAAGGTGGCGCCCACTGCGCAAGGAGCGAGGCGAACTCCACAAAGCCGTCGTGGCCGCCAACGACGTCCTCGTGATAACTCGCCCTATCATGGACAGCATTGAACGCCAGCAGAAACTCAACGCGATGCTGTGGCGACCCTGCAGGCCCAAATTGAGGCCTCCTAGGATGGAGAAACCAAAAGGTGCCGATACCGCTATCCCTCGGACCTCTCACGGGGTGTGGAAGTCCGAGAGGCGGATCCAGCGGTGACGACGAGGGCCTAATTCGCCGGCCCAACGGGCCAGAGGCGTGCTAAGATCTCCGGTAACTGGTTAACAATTTTCTAGTTCGCGCGCGCGGGGCGGCCCCTGGGGGTCCCCGGACGAAAAGTACCCCGACCAGGTCCCGGCCGGGTCCCCCCGAGCGCTCCATGAGCGCACCAACAGGGCTCCGAGACGTCCCCGAGAGCCCCAAGAAAGAGCTTCCACCTTTTCGGCTTCCCGACGCCCCAAGACGGCCCAAGAGGCCCCCAAGATCGCCCCAAGAGGGCCCAAGAGGCACCCAAGAGGGCCCCAAGATGGCCCAAGAGGGCTCGAAGACGGCCCAAGAAGCCTCCAAAACGGTCCAAGAGGGCCCCAAGAACGCCCCCAAAGGGGCCCCAGAGAGGGAACACGAAACAACATTTCGAGCCCTCGGCCCTAAGAAGCCCCTACGAGGCCCCTAAGAGGCCCCAAGAGGCCCCCACGGGGCCCTCAGGAGGCCCCCAAGAGTCCCCCAAGCGGCCCCAGGAGGCCCCCCAAATGCCCCCCCGAGCGCCCCAGGAGTCCCCCAAGCGGCCCCAGGAACCCCCAAAGCGCCGCATTGACACCAGGCCCTCGGGCAAACGGCAGACATGAGACTGTATGGGCCGGCGGAATGAGCGAAGCGATTAAATAACCAGAAAGGCCCCCAAAAAAGAAAAGCAAGGCACGTGTTAGCTGCATGGGTGCCTTTTCTCCCTCCGCAAGGGGCAGCAGGCGGGCCGCCAGACCCTTCTCGAGCGGGAGGCCGAGGCGCGCGTCGTGGCGGAAGCTGGCCCCGCCCCCTCCCGACACCGACAGCCCCGCTTCCGCTCTGGCAACTGGGCTTCGTGCTGGCCCACCTGTCGGGCGGGTGGCACTGGGGGGTGCCCTAGATTCCCGGACCCCCGACGTCGTGATTCTTGTCGTGACGTGGCCCCCAGGAGCCTGGACCCCTCCCCGGGGAGCGGTCTCTCATCCTGCGCGGCTTTTGTTGACAGTCCCGAGGCCCCGCGAGGGCCCCTGGAGGCCGAAAATAGCGAAGGACCTCCCGTGGTGAGTTCTCTCACAGCGCGAGGAGGTCTGGGGGGGGGGCGTAAAGAAAGGGGGCCGTTGAGGGCCCTTTCTTCGCCCCTATCCAGGGCACCCGCCACTACCACCCTCCCGAATCTTGGTCGGGGATCTTCTGACCCGGGTCAATCCAGACCCGGGTCAGTCAAGCCTTGCAAAATCCGACAAGATCCTGCAAGATCCTGCACCCAAACCCGGGGCAACGCGAAGGATGCTGCAAGATCCTGCAGGATCCTGCACCCAAACCCGGGTCAATGCGGCCCTGGCGCTGCAGGATCCTGCAAGATCCAGCGCTCTGGCTGACCCCCGTTTGCATTGACCCCCGTCTCTCTGGACGCCCGAAATGGGTACGGAAAGAATGGGTACAGTGCCCAACAGCAGTTCCGGTTCATTTTGAACAGGACTCGCCGTCCGCGCCGCCGCAGCCCGTGTCCATTCGAGACAGAATGCCGCCTGCCCAACAGCGGCCGCTGTTGGTTTGGGACAACATTTGTTGTTGGGCACTGCGCCCATTTTTTCCGTACAAATTTCGGGCGTCCAAAGTCTCGAGGCTCCCGACTGTTGCCGAGCTGCCGGCGCGGCTTCTCGTGTCTTGGCCAGCGGCCGCCAGAGAGCCGGGCGGCGTCCGAGCCGCGCCGGGACGCGTTCCGGGGCACAGCGCAGGGCACGACGGGCAAGGGGCGCGGCGAGGCGCGGGGCGGCCGGGAGGGGAGAGGGAGCCGCGCTCAGGCCATGTGCAGGTCTCCTCCTCCTCCTCCCTCCTCCCCCTCCTCCTCCCCCTCCTCCTCCTCCTCCTCCTCCTCCTCCTCCTCCTCCTCCTCCTCCTCCTCCTCCTCCTCCTCCTCCTCCTCCTCCTCATCCTGTGCGCGTGCTCGAGGCAAAGGCGAACGCCGGCAGGGCCACCCGCCAGTCGGGAGAAGGAGGCAGAAGCACGGAGTGAAGCAGGCGGATATAAAGCAGGTGGGGTTCGGGCCCGCCCAGAGGGCAGTGGGCCACAGAAGCATATGCAAGTCTCCGTGCGCGTGCTCGAGGAAAAGGCGGGCACCGGCACGGTCACCTGCCAGCCGGGAGAAGGAGGTAGAAGCACGGAGTACAGCAGGCGGATATAAAGCAGATGGGGTTCGGGCCCGCTCACAAAGCATTGGGCCACAGAGGCAGATCGGTTCTAAAAATAAGAAAACGCTAAAAGTATGTTGGGACCTTTTGAAGTCCCGAAGCGATGCGGTGACAGACCGTGCGGTGACCTCGAAATCCCAAGACCTCACCGCACGGTCCGTCAACGCACGGTCTTGGGACCTCGGATGCCCCAGTCGCCCGAGACGTCCTCGGAGAACGACCCGAGTCCCAAATAAGCGCGGTGACCCCAAACCCCCACCGACTCACCACACGGTGTGGTCACCGCCCCGTTTGGAGGCCCCCGAATCCAGAAATATCCCAAATACCTTATTAATCGTCCCCTGGGTCTGGTTTTTTAAGGCGCCTTTTTTGCAACTGGGGGGGTCCAGATTATCAGGGCGCGTTCTCTGGATTGGAGCCTTCCTAGGGGTCCGGTTTCTTAAAGTAAGGCTCCCCGTCGAAGAGAGGGGGCTCCGGAATAGTGGGTCGCACTTGGAGGGGGGTCCGGTTTTTCAGGGGGGGGGGGCGATTCATCAGGGATTTGCTGTTTGGGCGTGGCTTAATGGGGGGGTCACAAATGGGGGGTCAGAAAAGGTCCCCTTTCGTGCCCCTTTCGGGCCCCTCCAGAGCCCCAGGGGGCTCGTTTAGGTACCGTTTGGGTACCTTTTCGAACCACCCTCGCCACCCCCCCATTTATGACCCCCCCATTACGCAGCGCCCAAGCTGTCGACGACCGGCGCGTGCCGGAAGGCCTCGCTGCCCGAGCTCGAGGCGCCCTCGCTGCCGCGCGCTGTGGAGGCGTGCCAGCGGGGCCTCTCCCTGCGCGTGCTGTGCTGTGCCGCTCCTCTGCCGCAGATGTCTCTGCGGCGGCCTCCGGGCACCGTGCCCGGGCGCGGGCGGCGGCTTCGTATAGACATGGTCCTCGCTCGGGCGTGTTAATTTGGCGGCGAGCGAGGAGGGGAAATGAGAAGGAGGAGGCCTTCTCAGGAGGCGGCGGGGCTTCTCAGAAGCCCTCGCGCCTTCTGAGAAGTATTTTCTGTTTTGAGGGAGGGCTTAGAAAACTTCTCAGAAGGCCGGGGAACTTCCGCACCTTCTGAGAAGGCCTTCTCCTTCTCACTTCCCCCCCCCTCGCTCGCCGCCGATGAATGGGGGGTGGCCTACAGGAAAGGGGCCCAAGGACACACACACACACACACACACACACAAAGACACACAAATCCCAGGATTCCCCATCTTTTCTAGGTTTTCGTCTTCCTTCCCCCAAACTGCCCGCAGTTTCCCCCATATCCCCCTCGGAATCGACGATTAATTGAGTATGTGCGTGGTTTTCCCCTCCTGATGCATGGGGGGAGGAAGAACCGAGCCCAAATGGCACCTCGGGGCCCTTTCCTTCACTCCCCTATTTGGGCCAACCCCCATTACCACCCGCCCGCTCCTCGTGAGACAGCCTTTCCAGGGCTGAACCTACACCGTGTTTTTCGTTTTCGTTTCGTTTTCGTCTTTTCCCTCGTTTCGTCTTCAATCCGCCTCTCACGCAAACGAAATCGAAACGAAAACGGCCCACGAAATCGCCAAAACACCGTTTGGGTCCACCCCTGAATCTTTCAGGCCCGGTGGAGATCGCCAGCTGGGAGGAGGGGGTGGGGGCCTGGGCAGCGCTGGGGCGGGGTGCGGCACGTCGGGGCGGGGGTGCGCTGCGATCGCCACAGTCTTCGCGCGAGCCGCAGCCTGTGGGGGGGGGGGGGGGTCCAAGCACCCCACCTACGTGCGATGGGACGCACAACGACATACTAGTACTATATGTTGGCCTTGGACGCGCGCGTCCGACCTGAACAGAGAGTATATCCTGTTCCGAGCGGTGTGGCCGAAAAGCGCCCGCCGCGATGCATATACTATAAGATTTCTCGGTGCGCGCGTCGCCCCTGGGGGGGCGACGAACATCTAGTATAAGTATGTTGGGGCGACGCCGATGCGAGGGTAATAGAGGCCTCCCAGATGGGGTCGGAGCAGATGGGGTCGGAAGATCGCGCTGCATCGCCGATGCATCGGCGATGCATCGGCGATGCGTGGGCGACTTCGGCGTGGAGAAAATGGGACCCCCCATCGAGCCGCATCGCCGATGCATCGGCGATGCGGCGCGATTCTCCGACCCCATCTGGGAGGCCTAGAGTCCAAGCACCCCCGCCTACGTGCGATGGTAAGCGTTACGCCGGGGACAGGGAGGGCGGGTAACGACCGCGACGCGCCAGAGCGAGAGCAGCACCATGTATTGGGGGGGTCAGAGCACCCCACCTGCGTGCGAGAGCGGTGGCCGGCAACGACCGCAACGCGCCAGAGCGCGAGCAACAGCATGTTTTTTTTTTGGGGGGGGTCAAAGCATCCCCACCTTCGTACGGATGGTAAGCGAAAAGCCAGGGAAGGGGGGAGGGGCGGGCAAAACGACCGCGACGCGCCAGCGTCCACACCTTTGCCTGTCCCTCCACCTCTCCCTCCACGTCTGCATGCCTCCGCTCTCCACACCCCCGCAACTCATCCCTCCCCCCCATAATACCCCTCCACCACACCCCTCTCCGCTGCCCCTCCGTGTCCCCCCTATCCACTGCCCCTACCCTCCCGTGAGCCTCGCAATGCCTCCCATGGCATCTTAAAACGTCCCGATGCCGTTCGGGCCTTTCGGGGCCTCCCAGCGCTTGCCAAGGACTTCCAGCGCCACATATCTTCGCAGGTTCGCAAGGCCCCCAAAGCCCGTAGATAAATCTCAAGAGCCTCATTGTGGCCCGACGAACGCCCCAAGTGAGCCCCAAGAATGCGAAGGAAGGCTCCACCTCATTGCCGAGGATGCCCCTGCACACTCTGACGAAGAATGCCAATGCCATCACTGATCGCCGGGAACTCCCTGCACGATCAGGATGACAAGCACTACTCCCACTTGTCCCTGCAGAGGTGCCGCTCTGGGAGCCCTGGCTCTGTGGCAGAGAGCTGGCCCTGCCCCCCGCCGGTCGGGCCGCGGGGGATCGTGGACCGCTCCTGCGCCTGGACCGCCGAGGCCCGCGCCCCGTCGGCGGCCTGCACCCGCGCAGCACCCGGCGGGGCGCAGCCGGGCGGTGGCACCCCGCCCTCGGACCCGCCCTGCGGTGCACACTGCCAGGGGGGTCCAGTGAACAGAGGGGGGGGGGAGGCCAGATCTGTTTGGGGGGGTCCAGTGAACAGAGGGGTCCTCCACCTGCCGGTGCTGGTGGGTCCAGTGAACAGGAGGAGGAGGAGGAGGCGGAGGAGGAGGAGGCCTCCCAGATGGGGCCCGAGCGCAGATGGGGCAGGAGGGCCGGCGCGCCGTCGGCGCAAAGAGACGCTGGCGCCGCACCGAGCCGCCTCGTCGATGCGGAGCGATCATTCGCCCCCCTCTGCTCGGAGCCCATCTCGGCGGTGGACAAACCTCCCTTTAGTAAACCTCCCCTCAGTGAAAACGGCCTGGGACCCAAGCCGACGGACCTGGACCCGCAAAAATGACGGCCGCGACGCCCCCTCGCGAACCGAGAGCGGCAACTTCCTCAATCGACGTGTCAGGGTAGGAGGTCTGTCCCCCCCCCCGACCATCTGTTGAGCAGGGACTAGCACATGTTCTTCGAACATGAAGCCGATGTGTCAAAGCAAGACAGTCCCAGCCAGGAATGATCTGAGAACGTTTCGTGCAGACCACAAATGCTCTTATAACATGCTTTGGTTGGCCTATAATGGCGAGCCAGGACGCTTCGCCACTGCTTGAACCAGTGGACGACAGGCCCGCCGTGGGCAAATCACCGGCCGTCGGCACACCGCCAGGGCTGCATGCTGATCCCAGACCCCCGACGTCGTGATTCTTCACGGCGTCGACCCCCAAAGGTCTGGACCCCTTCCCAGGGACTTCGGATGCCCGAAGATGGGTGCGGAGAAAATGGGTACTCCAGATTTCGTAATAAAGGAGGGGGGTCTCATTTCGGGGGGGGTCTCTTCCAGGCTATCTTGGAGGGCCTGGGGGGTCTGGGGACGATGTTTTGGAGGGTTCTCCCACGGGGGAGGTCTGAAATGGCTTGTCTTGGAGGGTCCAGACCCCCTCCCTTTTATTACGAAATCTGGAGTACAAAGCCAAGCAACAAGTATTGTCCAAAACAGGCAGCGGTCGCTGTTGGGCCTTCAATGAACACCGTTCGCGGCGGCGCGGACGGCGAGCCCTGCTCAAGATGAACAAGAACTGCTGCTGGGCATCGTGCCCAATCTTTCCGTACCCACTTCGATTCGGGGAGCAAAAAATAACATAAACATAAAAACTCGGAGGTCCGCGCGGACTTCTCGGATCGGTGCTGGGGCCCCCCGGCGGCGCCTCCGGCGCCGCCCCTGGCGCGCTCCGCGCGCCAGGGAGGGGGGTCCAGCGCCGATCCGAGAAATCCGCGCGGACCTCCGAGTCTTTCTGCTTATGCCACCTCTTTGACTACCTACCAGACCACCCCAACCCAACCCGAAGACCCGAATTTCGGGTTGGGGGGGGTATGGGTTCCATACGTGTTTTTCCGATGTTCCCCGATGGGCCTTCGGGTTGGGTTGGGGTGGTTTGGTAGGTGGTGACTTTTGCTCCCCCATCGATCGCCCCGAGGGACCGGCTCTTCCTCCCGAGCCGCTCTCTGACGCGCCAAGGGGCCCGGCGGGGGCCCCAAGGGTGACTGCCTACCAGACCACCCCAACCCAACCCGAAGACCCGAGTTTCGGGTTGGGGGGGTCAGGGTTCCACGCGCGTTCTTTCAATGTTGCCCGACCCCCCCCCCACTGGAAATCGACTGTAAATTCGAGCCTTCGGGTTGGGTTGGGGTGGTTTGGTGGGTGGTGAAAAGGAGGCCGAGCCTGGCGCAAGGCCTCCCCCGCCATCACGATGCTCCACGACGCGAGGGGGGTCCATGGCGTACGCCCCCGCAGCACAGCGGCGCCCGCCGGGCCCGAGCACCGGCCGAGCCCTCCGCGCTGCGCCGCGGGCGGGCGCGGCTCCCGCGCGCGCGCCTTGTAGAAGATCTCGGGCCGCGGCTCCCGGAAGCTGCCGGGCTCCGCCTGCGCAGGGAGGGGAGGAGAGGTCTCTGGCCACGGGCGGCGCGTGGCAGGGGGCGCATAGTGCAGCCTACAGGGCAGTGTTTAACACATTGTTTTTAACATAAGATGTTTGAATCCATGACTGATGTATGAATGAATTTAGGCATGAACTCCTCGTTGCTTTTAATAGGAACTCCCTGCATGTTGAAAACATGATCCGCGCGCGGAGCATGCATTGAAAAACGGCCCTGTACCGTCAGACTCGGGGATGGACAACACCCCCTGAAGCAAAACGTGAAAACGACCTCGGGCCCAAACCTGGCGGGCGCGAGCCTGGAAGATGACGGCCGGGGCGCCCTCTCGAGAACCGAAAACGGACAAGTCACCAATCGACGTGTCCCCCAAGTGGCCTAGGGGGATTGGACAGCTCCGCTGAGTGGGCGGAGCCCACTTTGCCTGGATCACCAGCCCCCAAAGCCACTTTGGGCACTAGCAGCCCACTCATGAGCTAGGTTAGGCCAGATATAATCCACCTCGGCATCCACGGATAGCCCCCTCTCTATCTCCTTAGCACCCCTCCCGCCCATCCCCAGCATGGGCCAGAAGAGCAGCCTCGAAGAGCAGGAGACCCTGCTTCGGCAGGAACACACAGCACATCCGAGGGTGCAGTACGAGCTCAACCACGAGAGACCTTCCACAGGAAGCCCAACCCAAACCCCCAGGACATGCATTGTTCTTTGGTGTGGGAACGTGACGATTTCCATCGCGAATCCATCGAAACCTAAGCAATCCAGGGCACCCTGGAGGCAAGCAGGGTGTTTCTTGGCATGGGTTTCCACTGTACCCTTCCCACAGGATGCACAAGGACATCCAACAGGCACAAACCAACACTGGGGCACCCTCCCCGAACCGACCTCGATCTGATGCATCGGCCCGACTGCAGCCAGCTTCCGGACGCTTGTGTTAAGTTAAGGGTGTGGGCGTGGTCTCCGCCCGGTGACGGGCCTGCAGGCTTCGGCACGCTGTGGAGCGAGATCCACAGGTCCTGCGTGAAATCTCTCCGGAGCGAGATCCAAACCCAGGCCGATCTGGGACGAACACCTCGTCGCACATGCCATGATGAGCGAAAGACAGGGGCCTGGGAAGCCGTGGTCCTTTTGTCGACAGCGAGCCCCGGGGGAAGTGAGAGGGGGCGGGCCTTCGCAAAGACTCGGAAGTCCCTCGGCCTTCTGGGAAGTTTTCTAAGCCTTCCCCGAAGACATAAAACAAACAGGATCAGAAGGCGCGAGGGCTTCCGAGAAGTCCCACCGCCTTCTGAGAGGACCCTCTCCCTCTCACGTCCCACCCTTGCTCGCCGCCGCCTTTGGAATCCAACACCACGCGTCGCGTGAGAAGATCGAGCGCGCCCACACGCAAGCCGCTCGTGGGGGCGCTCCCTCACCAGAACAGACCCCCCCCCATGTGCCCGAGCCGCAAATCACACGGCACCCTCCCTCCGGATGGCCGCGAGTGCACCGAGGCCCCAACACTGGGCCTCGCCAGAGCCTTACCGAACAGATCCAGCCCGCCCCAACCCGATTGAACCAAACCGAACCAGATGCGCCCAAGCCGCAGATCTCACGGAACTCTCCCTCCTGATGGCCGCGAGTCCACCGAGGCCCCATGAGGTGGGCCTCGGCAAAGCCTTGCTGAACAAAGCCAGCCTGCCCCGACCCGATTGAGCCGAACCGATCCAGACCGATGGTCATTGCTGAGAGATGTCCCTCCCTCTATCCCTCCTTCGACCAGTGGAGACAACCAAGCTAGACAATGAACACGACGAACATTTCGGTTCTGCCTTGCTGGGTTGACGTGTCGTACCTCGCAAGATTCCGTCGAGCCAAACTGCAAAGTGATCAAAGCCATGTAACAGTAGATACGTAGCCCCCCGCAATTGCGGATAAGAGTGAGGGCGCGGGCGCGGGCGACGCGGGCGTCGAGCCGGCGGACCTCGTGGGCTCTCCACCTCCACCTGAAGGAATGCAAAAGAAGCCCGCCGCAGGCGCCGAAAATTTTGGGTGGGTCGCGGATGGGTCGCGGGTGGGTCGCAGGTGGGTCGCGGTGGGTCGCGGGTGGGTCGCAGGTTCTCCACCTGGAACGAATTCTAAAGAAGCCCGCCGCAGGCGAAAATTTGGGTGGGTCGGGGTGGGTCGCGGGTGGGTCGCGGGTGGGTCACGGGGTGGGTGGCGGGTGGGTCGCCGGTGGCTCGCGGGGGTCGCGGGGGGGGTCGCGGTGGGTCGCGGGTGGGTCGCCGGTGGCTCGCGGGTGGGTCGCGGGGGGGGGGGTCTCGGGTGAGTCGCGGGCGGGTCGCGGGGTGGGTCGCGGGTGGGTCGCGGGTGGGCGCGGGGTGGATCGCGAGGAAGGTCGCGGGTGGGTCACGGGGTGGGTGGCGGGTGGGTGGCGGGTGGGTCGCGCGGGTGGGTCGCGGGTGGGTCGCGGGTGGGTCGCCGGTGGCTCGCGGGTGGGTCGCGGGGGGGGTCTCGGGGTGAGTCGCGGGCGGGTCGCGGGGTGGGTCGCGGGTGGGTCGCGGGTGGGTCGCGGGGTGGGTCGCGAGGTGGGTCGCGGGTGGGTCACGGGGTGGGTGGCGGGTGGGTCGCGGGTGGGTCGCGGGGTGGGTCGCGGGTGTGTCGCGGGGCGGATCGCGGGTGGGACGACGAAACAACAAACAACAAACAACAAACAACAACAAGAATCCGCATCGCGGAATTCCACTTCAGCCACGCACCCAGGCACAGGGAATGACCGTTCGGTTAAGCCCCATCACTCTGGTATTCGCCGGCCCAACGGGCCAGGGCGTGCTAAGATCTCCGGTAACTGGTTAACAGTATTAACAGTATTTCTAGTTCGCGCGCGCGGGGCGGCCCCTGGGGGTCCCCCGGCGAAAAGTCCCCCGACCAACGCCCGGTCGCCGGCCGACCAAGTCTACTCAGAGATGGTTTTCCTTCTGGGTGCGGCCTCTCAGGCTCCCCAGAGCGCGCTCAGAGTGCCCCAAGAGGCCCCCAAGACTGCCCAAGAGGCCCCCGAGACGCCCAAAGAGCGCTCGAAGACGCCGAAGATGACCCCAAGACGGCCCAAAAGGCCCCCAAGACAGCCCAAGAGGCCTCCAAGACGCCCCAAGAGCCTTCCAAGAGGCCTCCGAAGAGAGCCCCAAGAGGCCAAAATCGTTGATGTTCATTGTTTTTTCTATGTTTTTTGTGTTCTGGCTTTTTCGGCTTCCGGACGCTCCAAGACGGCCCAAGAGGCCCCCAAGACCGCTCCAAGACGGCCCACGAAGCTCCCAAGACGGCGCCGAAACGACCCAAGAGAGCCCTCAAGACGGCCCAAGTGCCGCCCAAGACGGACCAAGAGGCCCCAAGACGGGCCCAAGAGGGACTCAGGAGGGATACCGAGAACTCAAAAATGGAGCCCTCCGTCCCAGAAGGCGCCCAGGAGGTCCCAAAGAGGCCCCAAGAGGCCTCCAAGAGGCCCCAAGATGTCGCCAAGAGGCCCCAGGAGACTCCCAGGAGGCCCAAAAGAAGCCCCAGAAGGCTTCAAACATGTCTCCCAGGCGCCCCCGAACGGCCTCTCAACAGACCCCAAGAGGCCCCCCAAAGAAGCATCTTGACGACGACTCTATTTCGCCCCATCGAGAGACGACCCCCAGGGAACTGCTTCACCATCAAAACTCCCCACGCAACGCGTCCGAACGACACCCGCCCCCAAGAGCGCAACATGGGCAACGAACACACAGACAAAAACCAGCGATGCCATATCACGGGCCGGCGGAATGAGCGAAGCGATTCAATAAAAACACAACAACGGCACAAGCACCTCGCAATAAACATTGACGGACGACAGAGCACACGGAGAGACGGCATGGCAAACACTATCTCACCACAACATATTATCAAAGACTGAAGATACTGGGACCATTGAACAAGGCGCTAAGGAACAACATGACAGACAATACGTAGAGACGACAGACATGCACACCCATACCCACACTTACACATACATATAACATACACACACAAACACGCACGCACTCAACGTACAAAAACGACGTCGCCGGCACAAACAAGAAGTGGACGGAAGGACAACGGAAACGACCTGGGATAACAAGAAAAGGACAATAACGGACCGACTGAACCGATCCGGCTGAACCGGTCTCGGCATTTTCACCAAAACCGATTGCATTGACCCGAACACACACCAAGCCGACACGAACATCGACTGCTGTGATACCTGATGACCAGGGGGCGCAGAGCTTCTAAAGCAAGGAGGGTCCGTGCTCAATGACGTGTGTGGCGTCTCTGGCGGGAGAAAGCTAACTGCACATGGCATTCGGCCAATGTGGAGCATAGTTGGGTCGAGACGTAAACTCATGCGAAAGCCCTTGCGACGATGTGACCACGACACGGCTGACGTGGGCGTTGGCTGCGCACCCAAACGATGCCCACGAAAGACTGGCCCATCACAAATGAGATAAAGCAATTATTGTTGGCATCAACGGCGCACCACCGCACAACATCACATCACGACACCTCTAGTTGACGAGTTTACGGGTTTGTACCCCCAAAGGCGTCTTTCAAAAACATGTTCCACTAAACGGCACGGCGCGGGCGGCACCACAACACAACATGACACAGAACAACACCACAGAGCCACGGCATGGCATCATGGCGTGGCACGTCACGGCATCACGGCACGGCAAGACATCGATGTCGAACCGAAGCGATGGGATCGGGACCCTGGTGGGCCACACGTGCCAGAAAACGTGGCCACACCGCCGATGGCGTCGCATTCGCGCAAAGCTCAGGATCCCCCCCCCTCCGACGTCAGGCATCACTGGGGAGACCAAAAGGTACCGGTACCACTACTCCGGGGACCTCTCCCAGGCCGCGCTCGGACCAAGAGATCTCGAGGCGAATCCAGCGGTGGCGACGAGGGCCTCCCAGGAGGCCGAAAGAGGGGAAAACGGGCGACGGGGTAGAGGTATGGGTGCCGTGCCCTCCTCTGAGTGACGGCGCGGCTTCCCCGCCTCCACGGCCGGGCGGCCGCTCGCGTCGCCCGCGCCGAAGCCGTAGAGGCTCGACTCGCGGGAGGGCTTGGCCTCGTCCAGCGCGGCAGTTCCTGCCGGGCTCTCCCCTTGCAGGGGGCTGCTGCTCCAGCCCAGCCCCCCTGCGGAAAGGCTGGGGCCCATGGCTCGCTGCATCGCGATCAGCAGCGCGCGTGCCATCCTCCTCCTCCTCCTCCTCCTCCTCCTCCTCCTCCTCCTCCTCCTCCTCCTCCTCCTCCCCCTCCTCCCCCTCCTCTCCTCCCCCTCCTCCTCCTCCTCCTCCTCCCCCCTCCCTCCTCCTCCTCCTCCTCCTCCTCCTCCTCCTCCTCCTCCTCCTCCTCCCCCACCCCCTCCCCCGAGCCGCGAGGGCAGGCCGTGGGGACACCCCGCGGGCCTCGAGACGACCTCCCGCCTGAGACTTCCTCCCAATTCACGCAACGCACAGAGACATACTAGTACGGTATGACCTCCATGGAGGCGCGCATCCGACCCGACCACGTAATATACCCATCTTGTAGTATATCATCACCCGAGCGGTGTGGCCAGAAAACGCCCGCCCCGACGCATAGACTGTAAGATTTCTCGGTGCGCGCGTCGCCCAAAGGGGGGCGACGCACACGTAGTATTAGTACGTTGGGGTGACGACGAATTCAGGCTTCACAGACCCGAGAGTAACGACAATTACAGACCCGCCCAGGTCACTTATAATATGAGCTGCAGAACCATAGGTAGGGGGTTCGCGCCTGAGACTTCCTCGCGCATCACTCACTGACGAGGCTCCCGCCTGAGACTTCCTTTATACTCAAGCTTGGAGACGCTAAGCGTGACGACACCTACACGATTCCGATGACTCGCTCGTGTTACTAACATGAGCTGCGGGCCCCGGAGGGAGATGTCGCCTGCCTGAGACTTCCTCGCACGTCACTCACTGACAAGGCTCCCGCCAGAGACTTCCTTCATTCTGAAGCTTGGAGACGCCAAACGCAACGACAGTTCAGACGATTCCGATGACCCGCCTGGGTTGATAACATGAGCTGCGGGTCCCATAGGGACATGAGCTGCGGGACCCATAGGGAGGGGTCGCCTACCTGAGACCTCCCCGCACGTCACTTACTGACGAGGCCCCAACCTGGGACTTTCTCCATACTCAAGCTGCAAGACGCCAGAACGCATGACCCGCCTGAGTTAATAACATGAGCTGCGGGCCCCATAGGAAGGGGTCTCCTGCCTGAGACCTCCTCGCACGTCACTTACTGATGACGCTCCCGCCTGAGACGTCCTCCATAACTCAAGCTTGAAAACGCCAAACGTGACGACCAACTCACGATTCCGATGACCCGCTCGAGCTGATAAGATGAGCTGTGGGCCCCATTGGGGGGGTCTCCTGCCTGAGACCTCCTCGCACGTCACTGACTGATGAGGCTCCCGCCTGAGACTTCCTCCAAAACTCAAGCTTGAAAACGCCAAACGTGACGACAACTGTACGATTCCGATGACCGACTCGGGTTAATCACATGAGCTGCGGGCCCCGTAGGGAGGGACCTCCTGCCTGAGACCTCCTCGCACGTCACTCACTGACGAGGCTCCCGCCTGAGACTTCCTCCCATACCCAAGCTGCAAGACGCCAAACGTGGCGACGGTTACACGATTCCGATGACCCGCTCGGGTTAATAGCATGAGCTGCGGGCGCGGTAAGGAGTGGGTTCCTGCCTGACACTTCCCCGCACGTCACTCACTGACGAGGCTTCCGCATGAGACTCCCTTGATTCTCAAGCATACGCAAAACGTGGCGAAGATTACACGATTCCGATGATCCACTTTGGAAAATAGCATGAGCTGCGCGACCCATAGGGTGGGGGCTCCTGCCTGCGACCTCCTCACACGTCACTCACTGACAAGGCTCCCGCCAGAGACTTCCTTCATTCTGAAGCTTGGAGACGCCAAACGCAACGACAGTTCAGACGATTCCGATGATCCGCCTGGGTTGATCACATGAGCTGCGGGTCCCGTAGGGAGGGGTCGCCTGCCTGAGACCTCCACGCACGTCACTCACTGACGAGGTCCCAGCCTGAGACTTTTCGGGAGCGGCCAAGAGGGGGGTGTCCAAGAGGGGGGGTGCAAATCATGACCGGCGGCATGTGCGCGGCCCAGCGGGGGGGCCAGGGACATAATGAAATAAGAAGAGGCAGCATGAAATCTGGGGAAATACAATGGCCCCCGCCATGATATTCACCCCCCCCCTAGTCATCACCCCCCTCTTTTCCGCCCCCGAACTTTCTCCATACTCAAGCTGCAAGACGCCAGGCGTGACGGCAGACTCACGACTCCGGTGGCCCGCCTGGGTCGATAACATGTGCAGCGGGCCCAGTAGGACGGGGGCTCCTGCCTGAGACCTCCTCGCACGTCACTTACTGATGAGGCTACGGCTGGAGACGTCCTCCGCACTCGAGCTTGACGACGCCAGAAGCGACGACAAATACACGATCCCGATGATCCGCTCGGATCAATGACATGAGCCCCGGGCCCCACAGTGAGGGGGCTCCTGCCTGAGACTTCCTCGCACGTCACTCAATGACGAGGCTCCCGCCTGAGACTTCCTCGCAAGTCACTTACAGACGAAGCTTCTGCTGGGTCGAGATCGTGACGGGATGGTGATAGTGATGATGGCGTTGGTGTGCAATGGTGTTGATGATGCGCAAACGATAATGATGATCGATTTCCATGATGGGATCGTGACAGGGTACTTCGTGAGCTCGTGATGATGATGTTCATGACGATGATGACGATGACGATGATGATTGCGGTTGTGATGGTGATGATAATGAGGATGAGGACCTGTGTAATTTCAAGGGTCACCAACGATGTTGGCATAAACCCTCCCTCCAACCTCCCTCTTCAGAGGCCCCTACAACAGTTCATCTCCACTGATGAATAACCCCGTTGAAAGACAACCGTTTGAAGATCCTGAATCGCTCCCAAACGCAATTCCTCTGCCTTCAACACCGTGAATCAGCGCAACTCTTGCACCCTCATAATCCGTAATCCTTCGGAAAAAAAACACACCATTTCTGGTACGTTTATCATGGGATCCGGTGAAACTCTTGCAAGTGTTAAAACGAATCTGCGCGGCGCTAAAGCGAGAACCACATGTTGAAAAAAGATCCGCCCTCAATCCGTGAACACATTGCAAATTCTAAGGACGAATGCGCGCGGCGCTAAAACGAGAACCACAATTTGAAAAGGAACCGGCCTAAATCCGTGAAACTCTTTGCACAATTTTAGAAGCGGCGCTAAAGTGAGAGCCACATTTTGAAAACCACACGCCCTCCATCTTTGAAACTGTGACTAACGCTTAAGCGTCATTGTCATCAATAGTGGAGAGGTCTCAGGAAAAACACCCGGTCTACTCTAAAAACTTACCTTGGTGTGCGCCAAAGAGACATTCGTGATAAGGAAAAGGGATTGAGAACGAGGAGGAATGAGGATGATGATGATGACGATGATGAGGCTGATGATGATGCTGATGATGATGCTGATGATGATGATGTGGTGGGTTATTGTTCCTGCGCGAGGTGTCCAGAGAAAACAATAGGATGTGGCGAAGAAACACGTTTGCCAGGCAGCCATTTTTCTTGATGTTATGCCCGTCCCCATCGGGCCCCTGCTGGCAGTAGTGCCACATACATTCCAACGGGCCTGCCGTTTCTGCAAAAGCATGCCAACTGTTGCTCTAAGCAACGAATCCTGCCGTGTTCTGCAGGGCGAACTGGGCCAACCTGTGACTCTGAGGCCAGCGCGAACTATGACTTGGCTTTGTCTTGGGGGTCTGCGCTATTGGGGGGGTAGTTTAGGGGCTGACTCACGAGCAATCTTGTATTTCGCTTCCACGGCCTGCCGCACGCAGCGTTTGCCGCAATTGATTGGCATCTCGGCCCAGCTACCACTCATTATTATCAGAGGACATTCGCAAATCGCAAACCGCCAATAACCGATGAATGGACGACTGAGGTAGCGGGCTTACGTTCAAAGCAAGCGCACTCACAGAACGGCTTGCCAGGGAACTTCGGGACTGCGCGCGCGCGGCAATAGGCGTGCGAATTTCCATGCGCCGTTCGTGCGCCAACTCGTACACCGACCCCCCCATCGCTTTTCACATTGATGTTGCTTCCCGTGCGTTGCCCATGCTCCCGGGCGCATCGGGGCATCTAGGGCGCGATCGGAATCGCGCTGGCGCGTCGTCGGGGCGACTTGAGGCGACCCCTGGAGCCGCCTGAGGTCATATCGGCCGTCTTTGGAGACGTCTTGGGCGCATCGGACATCTGCGCGGCCCGAGCCCCCTAGCGACACGAGCAGCTATACTTGTACAAGACCACATGCTGCGACGCAAGCGAAACTCCGACATGCAAGGGCTAGATGCAGGCATGCCATCAAACCCAGAACACACGCATGCCCCCGCTGCAAGATACCAACATGCAATGCAAATGCATACTGCGTGAAAACGAACGCTACGCACATGCACATCCCCCCCCCTCCCCCCAAGTCAGACCGGATATCCTGGGAGAACGATTCCTCGGCCACGCGCGAACGCAGCGCACGTTCACAAACTGCGCAGGTTGCAAGACCTGGCGGTGCCTGTCAGCGCCGCCCAGCTGGCCAACAAAGGAACGGGCTGGTGCAACGCTTGCGCGCGTCATTTTTCCAGGAACGCCACTCGCAACCGAGCGGGCTTGTGGGGGCGCGCAACAATACCGTGCAATGAGCTTGCCTGACGCCTTATGTGCCCTGGTTGACCACAAGCAGTATAGCAGAGTTGGGTTTGGAAGCCATACTACGAGGACGATACAAGGCATGGCTTGGCTGGAATGCACTAGGCCTGGGCCTGACCCCAACAAGAGCGCTCGCGCATGGCCAGCATGGAGCAGGCCTCAATCGCGAGCCACGCAGCGACCGAAGGTCTTCACCGTCCACGTCGTGGTTGCTCAGCAAAAAGCGCTGTCGCCATTCGCGCCGCCGCGTACATTCGCTCACCTCGCGGGGTAGCGCGCGCAACACGTGACTCCATTTCTCTCGGCGT